CGTAGCAGGGTCTGGGTCTTTGAGTTGTCAAGGCTTATTCCAACAGGCCTCTCGACTTAGGTGAAGGGTCTTGGTGTTGCACTGTTTTCTGGGAGCGGATAGGGGAGCCTAGGCCCACTCTCTCCACTAAGCTCTGGTTCAGGACCCTACACTTAGACTCTTGGGGTGCTAAGTCGCCACCCTCCCTGGGCCACTTCCTACCCCCATGTCTTTCAATTGCATAGAGTAAACCAATTCTCTCAAGTCTCTAACCTGCAATGCTTAGTCACTTAGAATCATAGGGTGAGAAGGGACTGCAAGGGTCATCTCATGTAACCCCCTGCCAAGATGCAGGATTTGTTGTGTCTTTTCTCTCTTTTGTAGGTTCTTCACTAGTCTGTGTAGTGAGGCCTCAGGCAAGGAGCTCCTGGGCAGTACTTTCCCCTCAGAGTTCAGACCAGCCATCTGCTCGCTTCCAATACCTGCCTCCCACTGAGCTGAGCTGCTCTGCTCCCCCTTTTAAAGCCCTGCCTCCAGCTTGTGCAAGCCCTGCAGGTGTGGCTGGGTGGGACGCCTGGGCCCAGAGCTGCTCTGTACTCCTTGCCCTCCAGCGTGGGGTTTGTAAACCCCATCACGCCTCCCTAATTCCATTTTCCAAGAGATGAGGCATCCCTCCATATGTTAATTTTTCATGTCAGGCTAGGCCTCAGCTATACTAGGCACAATTCATCAAACATCTAAGGAGATGATCCCTGCCCTGACAGGTGTCTAATTCAACATTATTGTCAATTATTATTTTGTCACAAGTCTCACAATATTTGGAGTTTTTCTTACAGCTCTAGCTGCTGGAATCCAGCAATTTCATGAGAATCTCATCTTTAATTTTAAAAATAGTACGTTTCTAGCTCTAATCGTTGCCAAGAAAACTTGAAAATATGAAGCGAGTGCCAAGAAACCAGCAGACAAAGACTCCAAATTGTATTAGTTAAAAAACCGTCATCTTTTAAAGCCAATCCCATGACTTTTGGCGGGGCCTGACTCATGACTTTTGAATGCCTGGGGTTGGCAATACTGTCAACAAGATACAACAAGTGAGGGACATAAACTGACAAGAGTAGGATGAAGCTGCAGAAAAATATCACATGGTTATGCATAAAGTATGTATGTTTACATCTTAATGAGTCATTTCCTTTTGTTGTTGTTGATACCTTTCCTCCTCTTCACAGGCAAGCTAGCAGAAGCAAGGTTTTAAGTGAGGTTTGAATGTGGTGAGGGAGATAACTCCCATCAAAGAATTTTCTCTCTCTCCTTGGTAAAGATCCTTCCTCAGCGCTAGTTAGTTAGATGTTTTATAAACACTGTGATCAGTGAGGTACAAGATGAATTCCATCAAGAAGGCACGCACAATCTCTACAATGGCCAAATGAGTTCCAGCCACGGTTACATGGACAGCACAAATTCTAACCTCCCTCCTGCCCGCAAATGAATATCTTCTTTCCCATTGCCTCAAGGACCTCAGAAGTGAGAGGAAATCTATTCCACTATTCACACTAAAAATCCATTGGAGCTGTGGGTCCTGTCCTTAGACAGAAGGCTTTGCTTTGTCATCCCCAAACGCTTTGAGGGAAATTAGGCCATCTTGGATCTGAAGTGGTTTGGGTAAGGTGGATAAGTGTATTTCTACACTGACAAAATATTCATAATTTCTACTGTTGGAAAAAAGGAGGAACAACTGTAAAACAGATGCAATTACCAGTTCAGCATCACAACTGAGGATCTGAATGAACAGGTAAGTAAAAAGAATCAGTGCCAATTTAGAATAAGAGTTAGTAAAGAAAGAGAAGCTGAGTGTAATATTTCAATAATAATTAATAATAATTTTGGCAAGCGCATCCAAAAAACAGAGTATAAAGTGATCACTACTGGAGTTGGAGAGAAATTTCTCCTTATGGCATAATATTGCACAATGAGGTGTACTATAGGTATTTTATGCCTTCCTCTGAAGCAATATAGCATTGGAGACAGCTGAGTGTACTAGATGGACTATTGGCTTGTTTCGGTATGTTCCTACAATTAACAGGAAGAAAAAAACACTGAAAAGTTCAATGACTGATCATTTAATTTTGCTTTTAGCTATCTGAAGCTCTGATAGAAGAAGATAAGATAAAAAAGAAGACATCTGTTAGGTAGATAAACCAATATCTAACTAGGCAAATAATCCAAAGAAAAACAGAAGACTAATCAAGAGAAACTGGGATGTGAGTTGGAGAACTGCGAGGACCAGGGCAGTAGAAGACATGGTAGGAAAAGTTACTGGGAAGTTTTTCTATGTAAGGAAACAAGAAGCTGATAAGTGATAATGGCAAGGGCAATGTACTCTGTGAACTAAGAATAGATTAGTTTTAACAGCAGTTTTACAAGAAACAATATGGGGACAGATCCTCAACTGGTGTAAATCAAAACAGCTCTGTTAACTTTAGTGGAACTCTGCCAGGTTACACTAGCTGAGGTTCTGGACCTATGGCATCTTATAAATACATGGAAGAGAAGAATAAACTCACTCCCCAGTCCCTAGAGAAAAGACAAAGTGAATTATCAGCAAGGTAAAGAAGAAGACACCAGGGAAGATGACATTGTGGGTTACTTTACAAAGAATATGAGCAGGAATCAAGAGAACTAGCAGATGGCAAAATAGCCATATTAAATAGATAAAAAGATTCCAGAAAACTGGCATAACACTTCCCCCACATGGATCCCTCATAATCTGATTTTCTACACAGTTTGTAAAAGGTGCAAAAGAGATCTCAGGATTAATCCTCTTTCAGTATGTTGCTTAGAGTCTACAAAACTCTCCTTTATGGTACTGAACAATCATCTTCTTGTAAACTCCAGCTTTCATCTACTTCTGACTGGCTAAGAATTGCACACATGCTATAATTGCACCACACCCCGACTCACTTGTTTGTCTCATTCATCTGATATGTCTTGCTTTTTTAGCTTGTTAGCTCTTTGGGGCAGGAACAGTCATTTACCATATGTTTATACAGCACATAGCACAATTATTAATAATTATTAATTATTATCTTATTGTCATAATGCCTAGGAGCCCCAGTCATGGACTAGGACCTCATTGTGCTAGGCGCTGTACAAACATAGAACAAAAAGGCAGTCTCTGCCTCAAAAAGCTTACAACCGAAGAAAAGAGAGAGGAGCCTGACCAGGTCAGCCTATAGGTACTTCTGCAATAGAATTAGATAAGTTCATGGAGGACAGGTATATCAGTGACTATTAGCTAGGATGGTCAGGGATGCAACGCCATGCTCTGAGTGTCCCTAAACCTCTGGATGACAGGGGATAGATTTTGTGATAAGTTGCACTGTTCTGTTCATTCCCTCTGAGGCATCTGACACTGGCCCTTGTTGGAAGAAAGGATACTGGGCTAGCTGGACCATAGGCACCAACTCCGTGGGTGCCCTGGGGCTGGAGCACCCGGGGGAAAAATTAGTGGGTGCTCTGCACCCACTGGCAGCCAAGCTCCCCTCACTCCCCGCCCCACCTCCTCCCCCTCCCCTGAGTGTGCAGGGCGTCCCTGCTCCTCCGCCTACCTCCCAACACTTCCTGCTGCCAAACAACTGTTTGGTGGCGCTTAGGGCTTTCCAGGAGGGAGGGGGAGGAGCGGAGATGCGGGGCGCTCAGGGGAGGAAGCGGAGAAGAGGCGGGGACTTGGGGGAAGGGGGTGAAATGGGGGCAGGGCGAGGGTGGTGTGGGGTCGGGGTCAGGGGGGGGTCGAGTACCCACCGGGAACAGTGGAAGTCGGCGCCTATGACCTGGACCATTGGTCTGATCCAGTATGGCTGTTCTTATGTTCTTAAAAATGTTAAATAATAATAACTGCAGCCTGGAGGAGAATAAGAATGCTTTGAATCCTCCATTTGCAGAGGAGAAGTGAACAGTTGGAAAATCAACATGTATTTTCTTCTCTTGGTTTTAAAAAATATATTTTACTTGGGGAAAAAAAAGAGTACACAATAAAATGAATTCTGTAAAATGACACAAAATAAACAAGGCCGTAGGGCACAATGTAACTCCTCGAATGGCATGTACATCCCAATCCGTACCGTTTCCCCTAAATATGACCGTGGAGAAAGCTTTAAAAATGTCATGAAAACCATTTCTGTGTTTTCTTCTGCAGGCGTCCTGAAGCAATAGCTCTTAAGAGAGGCAAACTGCCCAGTCCAGCTCAATGGGCTATGGACTCTGAAACCGGAAAGTGGCATTTAAAATAGCAAAAAGAACAGGAGTACTTGTGGCACCTTAGAGACTAACAAATTTATTAGAGCATAAGCTTTCGTGGGCTACAACCCACTTCAATTTGTTAGTCTCTAAGGTGCCACAAGTACTCCTGTTCTTTTTGCGGATACAGACTAACACGGCTGCTACTCTGAAACCATTTAAAATAGCAACATTTTGTTGTTGTTGCTATTTCACCGTTGGTCATTTGGGCAGAAACCTCCAGCTCAATGCTCTTAACCCACATCCCAAACCACCTCCCTCCTCTCCATCTCCATCCCTGCACTAATGTCTCCTCCTCACTCTATCCTCTCCCCCACACCAGTGACTCCCCACTCGTATCCTCCTTTTCATCCCCTCCCCTTGGTAATGGCTCCTCTCACTCATGATTTCCCCAGCCCCTCCTCTCTCTAGTTACTCGCCTCCTACGAATTCAATTCAAATCCATAGTACTTTATTGGCATCCTGGCAAAGCGATCCCTTAGTGGCTGTCACAGATCTGCCTTCACGGGGCTTTCCGGTGAGCCTGGGGGTTTAGCGGCAGCATCGCTTGGTATACAGTAGCAGCAGCAGCAATATTTGCTCCTCTCCGGAGCTCCGAGGCTCATGCGCCTTGGCAGAGATACTACAGGCAGTTTTCCCGAGTCTCCTCCCCTATTCCTCCCCCCTGTTCTGCAGTCACTTCCTGCAGCTGTTTCCCTCTGTGTCCGGTTGTACTGACTTTTCTGACTGCCGGCCCCTCAGATCTAGTGGGGAGCAACCCGATTTAAGTTGTCATGAAAAAGGAAGAGAGGAGGAGGTGAAGATCTCAGCTGGGGATGTGCAGGGCTGGCTAGCTCCAGGTACAGGGGATTGCCTGCAGATTGCTTCTCTGAGTCCCTCCTCCCAGAATCAGGGGAGTCTAGTAAGTGCATTATACTTGGGTGTATGCATTTATTAGAGTAGTCAGGACAGTGTCAATAACAGGGAGGTAAATCGCACCACAAGCAGTGTTATGTACATGTCCCACTTGTTAGTTTGTGGGATTTTACATGTTTGTTTTGCATGTGGGTATTTATGTTGCATGTATGTTTTGAATGGCTACATATTGCATCAGTTTTTGGATGCTATGTTTTGCGTTTATGTTTCCCAAATTGCATCTTGGCATCTTGAATTCTCTCTTGAATTGCAACCATTTCAAGATAACAACAGATGCCTCCGATTTTAATTAGAATTTAAGTCATGGGGATTGTAAAGCTTTCAATTTTGCATAAATAAAATTTCTAAAATGTCAGTTTTTGCATCATGCTGTATAGTCCCATAATGATGTATTAGGTAACAAAATGTTCCCTTGCCCTTTGCATTACCTGTTTTGCATCTACAGCAGTCTAGAGTCAGTGTCAGTGACCACTGTCATGAAAGTTGTTTCCATTCTAATGCCTGTGTTCAATCACTTAGTACTGTATGAAGCCTTCAGCTTTCAGGCTGAAATTTGTCAGGCTTGGTCTCTGACCAAAGGTGAATGTATCTGGAAAGTTTCGGTAAAAACAAGTACATTCATTCTGGAGTATGAGGAGCCTGGAGAAAAAAATACACTTTCTGATTTAAAAAATAAATAAATAGTGACTGTTTGAATAACTCCATCACTGAAACAGCTGGAAACAGTCAGGAAACTTGGCACAGAAATTTGATTTGACTGAGTTATGACCTTTTTAAAAATTGCACTCTGCCTTTGAATAGTGCACTTCATAAGGAATTTTCCCACTATGTTCATAAAATCTGCTGCTAAGGAAGGCTGTACTGTGTGTACATGCTTGACGAATTTAGCTGTGCAGTGAAAAGCTTTTGGGCTTAGATTGTGCCTGACATTTCTCCCAGGGTTGCATAGGGTAGTGAACATATAGAACCTTCCTCCCCTCTTGCATGGCACACACAAAGGCCAGGTACAATTGTGGTCTCTGTGTTCAGGGAAGTGCAGGATCAGCTCCTTCCTTACTCTCCCAGGGGCACACAGCACTCCAAAGGGGTAGGAAGTAGATGGACTTAGCTGGCTGAATCCCTCTGCATTGTCCTGTGGACCACACAGGAGGAAGTACGTTGTAGCCCATAACGATGTGTAGCAGTGGGCATGACAGTGAGACCCAGGAGGCATCCTGTCTTCCTGAGGCAGAATGCCTCCTGGAACTCACCCTGGGGAACTGCAGCTCCAGGCTCTCCGCTCCAGGCTGTGGCTTAAAGGCACAACTGAGCCTTTTCTGAAGTTGGGCAGAGAATAATGCAGGGATCATTGGTCATCTCGTAAGGTAAAAATGGCATGGCTTCTAAAGTGCACAGGGAGAGGGAATCTCTCCTGCTAACTTCCTACAGTGTGGAGATGGAGTCCATTGTGGACCTAGTAAGGTAAATGGGATGGGGTGTTACAGTGGGGCCTAGACAAATAGTTCTAGATTATGGATCTTCTTTTTCTTACACATTTCTCTAAACCAACTAACTAAAAACATCCTAGCACTGCCTTTAAAGAAAAATCAACATTCCTGTCAAAAGTCAGGAAATGATAATGTTAAGATTGCCTCTGTACCCTTAATCCAGCCTCTGTACCCTTAATCCACTGCAAAAAATCTTTAGTTACATACCGTTTCTCAAATAAGGTCATGTCATAATTTTTTCCGCCTACACATTGTAGTGCTGTATACTGCACTATGTATGATAGCCAGAGTTCATGAAAGTAATAGCAAACACTTCTTAGACAAGATACAGCAGATTGGGCCTGGTTCTCGTTTACTTTAACACTACTTTAGACAGTGCTTGCTTTGTAAAGTAGGCTTAAAGTGAGAGTAAACCATATTTACATCTAATTTAAGGCCGCTTTCCATTGCTGGAATGCTGTAAAGTGCTTTTACTGCAAATGAAAACCACTCCATTATGTATAATAGAGTAATAATACAAATTTGCTGGCATGTCTAGGTCACCTAAATGTGTAGCTAAATTTACTGTATAGGTCCAAATTATGATACCCATGATCACAAATGAATAACTCTTTCTTCCACCTGTTATTCCATTGAAATTAAAGGGACTACCTGCAGAGTACAATACTACTCAATGTGAGTAATGGGGGCTAAATCTGTCTCAGGGTTAACAGTTATGCCCTGAGCTGAACCCATGGAAAACTATACTGGTGGTTAGAAAAAATATTATATAGTACATAGTTGTTGACTCAATGATTAAGATACTTATCGAGAGAAGAGAATTTATTTATAAAAAGTGAAAGAGCATTATCCCATGGACTTTAATGGGACATCTCACATGCTTAAAGTGAAGCACACACTTAAGTTCTTTGCTGGATCAGAACCAGAGTGTGCAACACTTTGCAGGACTGTACCCTAAAACAATAAAGATTGTTCTAATAATTGAGTTAATGAAAAGAGTAAGTATAAACAAATTTTAAAAATGAGAAGAAGCGGCACATGTACATGCGATTACTCATGTGAGTAACAGCTTAATAGTGTGAATAAAGGGGTCACAATCTGCTCTTAAGATTGTACAGAAAAATTGTATGGTAGTATATTGTAGTATTGAGAAACACTATGAAAGCATGTCATTAAAGATTGTGTTGTAAAAGGATACAAGCCAAAGGGCAATGTTTAAGGCTGTGAGAGCAACCTTAACTATATCATTTCCTGGCTTTGAGTGCTTACTGTTCTCTTAACATAGTTTTAGAGGCAATTATATTAAAATCCAGACACTGTGCTGAGAAGGGAAGAAATGTTAATGAATCTTCAGCTCTGTGAGCTTTGAGCAATCTTTATTCCTGGAGAAAAAGCATTCCTGAGCAGAGGCTTCAAAGCTTGATGCATTTATGGTTTTCACTGGCTTACAGTGATATGATTTCCTTTCATTTCCTAAAGTCATTGCTGTTACAGACATTTAATATGATATGATGTTGTTCTAAGGCATTCATAGACTTGTACTGACATTGTTTTACCAATCACATTGTAACACAATAATCTGATTATTATTGGCTTGCAGTGTCAATATGATAATATTAAAAAAATGGTCAGTTTCTTAAGATAGTCCATTTTCAAATGCTCTATTGAGTGGAAGTGAAAGGACTCCCTGGGAGAAATGCTGGCCTAATTAAAATCAATGGAAGTTTTGCCTTTGACTTTAATGGGACAAGGATTTCACCTTCTGGGTTTTACCCTGAAGGTCAAAGAGAACATCCACAGATGGTAGACTACATCTTTATGTTGGGTAGTTCAATCATCACCTTATCTATATCAATGCAGACACCATACAGGTGCTACAGATTCATGGCCTTGGAGGCTATTGAATTCTGTGGCTTTTCGGAGATCTCCATATTGGTGCTGGGTCATACCTTGACTCCCTTTCCCCTTGCTGTAGCATCACAATTTGCTGAATATGGAGACCATGGTGATTTAATGGTGATCTCCAGGTGTTGAAGCACCTGGAGCATATGTTGGCAATAAGGTCACTGGGATAATTACCTGGTGTCTGATCCTTTTCTGTTAAAGGATTTTATACAGGCATATAGAATCACTGACAGTGAGGCTAGGAGATGTTACTTGTCCTCAGGCTTAGACCTTCTGTAATGAAAATTCCAGCTGAACTCTTTTGGATAGTGTGCAATCAGATTACTTCAGATGGCCTTGTCCAATTAGCAGTTCCTTCAACTGATTATAATGGTGAGTTAGTTACCTTTTTACACAGATGGGACAATGTGGTTCTAGGCTGGTCTCTGTATCTTTTGACTAGTAAAGCCATGGGTTCCCAATAGACTATCTCACCTGATCTCTGATTTCCTTGTCCTCTGGAATTCCCTGTGGCACATGGCCTGCAGTTTTGACTTCTGTCCATCTTGACAATGATGTGACTGTGCCACCATCATTGAGAGATGTCATCAATGCCTCACTTAACAAGAGAAAGATGTTAATTATCCTTAGACATGCAGATGTCCACCCCCTTCCTTAAGAAGCCATCTCTTGACACTGAAGTACTTGCCAGCTGTCGAATCCCCCACTTTCAGGGAACAAGATTGAGAATACTGTGGCTATTCCAGTCCAGGAGCACTTGGACATTAGTGGCATCCTGGATAGTTCCCATTTTAGGACTGGCATTTTTTGGATTTGAGATCGCACTTGTCAGGCTCACGAATGACCTCTCGCTGGTTTTAAATCAGGGTCAGCTTGTCATTTTGGTCATGGTGGATTTCTTAACATCTTTTAATATGAGTGACCATGGTTACTGCTTTGACAGCTAAGGAACATAGCTAGTGTGTCTGGAGCTGCTCTGAAGTCTTACCTAGAAGAGAGGAGTCAGTCCATGGTGGTAATATGGGATTTGAAACGCTGTGTCCTTCAAAGGTCCCTTTATCACCCATGTTGTTCAATGTATATACTGAGCTCTTTTAGCCAGATCATTTCTTACTATGGGATGTAGGCACAGCTGTACATCTGTTGCCCTGTGGACAGCACAGTTCAAGTCTCTGGCCTGGAGGGATGTTTGAACTATCTTGTCTGGACACATTAAAACTCAGGATTAGTTATGAAGTCTTGCTGCTGGATAGAGTTCGTTACTACAAGAAGGCTCATTCTAGTTGAGAGGATGTGATTAGAAGCAGTGAGTCAATCATGACCTCTCTAGGAAGTCCCATCCCCACCCTCCATGTGATAGGAACTTTTTTTGCATGTGCACTTCACAATTTGCACAGGTGATTTATCTCAGGGTAACCTCACAATAGCAATCCCTGCCTTTGTGTCTCATACGCTCAGTTGATGAAATTCCCTCTTATTAGGGCTAACAGTAGAGCTGCTCCACTATTAGCCACTTGTTCAGAATCCAGCATCCCTTTTCTCACTGGTCTAACAGCCACGTTCACATTATGCCCACTTTGCACTAGCTGCCTGTGCAGTGGCACACTAATTGTTAGCTGGTACTGTTGGTTTTTAAAGGCTGCAACAAGGTAGGCTCCCTGACTATATTTGAAACGTCTTCCTTGGACTTCATCTTGAAGAGGATCTCTGGTATGACATGCCATAGAATCATAGAATATCAGGGTTGGAAGGGACCTCAGTTCCTTTTAGGAATCCCACCATCATACTCAGAAAAAGGAATTAGTGTCTTTGTCGTGGTGGGCCTTAGGGTGTGGAATTCACTTCACCATATAATCCAGCAGTCCATCTCTCACCCCATCATTAAACACTCCTCCTTCCCCAGTGTTTTTTAGAACAACTACTTCCCTCTAATTTCTACTTTTCCATCCATTCCCTTCTTTCCTCTTTAGCTTCTGCATTGAACATCCTCAAATTTGTTTCAGTTGTTAATTTTAGTGAGGTTCTTTGGGGTTTTTTTGGATTGCATTTGAATTAATATTTAGAAATTGATTTTAGTAGGGAGCACAGCACCTTGACAAGGGAGGTGCACTGGAGAAATAAAACGTTCCAAAGGCTTTATTGTCCGTCCATTTCCAAAGGCATGTATATGTGTGCTTCATTTTTTGTGGGTTCCCGCCCCCCTTTAGTCCCTAGCAATACTCAGAAAACTTTAAAGCAATATTGTTGGCTGGAACTTGAGCTTCTGTTCTGCAGCTGGTCCTGTACAGTCCCAGGGAGCCAATTGCAGAACTGGGGTCCGTGTGTGCAAAAACAACAACACAGATTCATTCGGGTAACATTTTCAAAAGTGCCTAAGTGGCTTAGGCGCCTAAATCCCATTTTCAAAAGTGACTTAGGCTTCCAAATACCTAAGGACCATTCATTTAGGTTCTCACAGGCCAGACTTTGAAAGGTACTTAGGCACCTAAAGATGTAGATAAGTGCCTCATGAGATTTTCAGAAGTGCCTAATTAGGTTAGATGCCAATCTCATATTGATTTGAATGGGAGTTAGGTGCCTAATCTGTTTGGAAATCCCAGGAGGCACCTATATGCATCTTCAGGTACCTAAATACCTTTGAAATCTGGCCCTCAGAGGATGTGGGCCTAAGAACCAAAGTCACTTTTGAAAATGGGACTTAGGCACCTAAGATACTTCTGAAATTGTTACCTGCAATCTAAATTAAGGATTGCCTATTTAGAAAAGTAAAGGTAGGTCCCTGTATTTAAAACACTTCTGCTTAAAGATAGTACAAATCTGGCACCCCAGAATGCAATTTTAGCTTGATGTGATTTGAAATGGCCAAAATATCAAATCCTGTTTATTGGTAAGCGGGGCTATGATGAGAAGCTATTATAATCTTTAAAAAAGTGGCTCTGTCTTGATTTACACTAATACTTCCACTTTGCATTAACCTAGCAATGTTCATCCCAGGGTTTCAACACAACTTGCAAACATAAATTAATTAAGCCTCTCAAAGCTTTTTGTTGGCAATTTAAGGGGGTTCCTAAGAACTTGAACTGATTGAGAAATAAACTGAATAAGTGCTAATATGAGATAATCTTCCAAACCTAAGAAAATATGAAATAGTTTTTAATATTGCATTGTACTTAGTAAAATCTGCCAGAAGTAGAGGCAGATATCCAAATGCTTTCAGTAGCAAATGCCTTAGGAAAATGGTAGGTATTAAATGGAATGAAGTTGTAACAAATGAGGAGATTTGTCAAAGTTCCACAACTTTTTAACTCCAAAGTTTTCCAGAGAAGACAATGTAAATATCTGGGATGTATTAAGAATGTAACCAGAACATCTGCCATGGCAGGCATACCATTGGGCAACTGGAGGACATGTAAGAGAGGCGGAGTGAACTAATCTCTTCATTGAACACTAGAGAGGGAAGACTATTGGACTTAACATAGAGGACATGCAAAGAGCAGCCCAGGATAGACAGGGCTGGCAGAGTCTTATTCATGCTCTAAGTGATGTTTGATAGTGTGAAAAGGATTCAGATACTTAGTAAGTGAAGGCATGGAGAAATTGCCCAAGGTCATGCCACAAGACAGTGGCAGAGTGTGGAATGGAACCCAGAAGAAATGACTCCTGGTACCTTGTTCTAACCAATAGACAACAGTGTCTCCCTCAGTGCTTTTATTTACTGGAGAAAAGTTAATTTTGACCTTTTTTCCTGAAGGTCTAAGGCTTTGTATGGGGTTTACGATTCACAACATACACAACTACTTCCAAATGATTGACAAGGTACCAAGCAACAACACATATTGCAGTATTAGTTTATTTCTTAGATTGTGAACTCGTTGGCATGGAGCCCACCCGTTCTTGGATTTGGGAAAGGGCCTAAGGCCCCAATACTCCACGTGTTTATCCTTGGGAGCACTGCTTCAATGGGCCTCTGCATGAGCTCAGCAGTGAGTCACTGCACCAACAAATGTAGGCTCAGGGCCTCCTAGGGTAACACAAACATGGCAGAATGATATTTTCTTGCATCTGAAAGCTTATGTCTGGTGAGTTCTCATTTTGTTTGTTGTCCAGATATTATAAATTCTTAGTAGTCCACTTAAATTTCCAGGAGGGTGCCATAGCCTTTATTAATAGCTAAACTCAGATTTTAATCCGTGTCGTTTTGCCTAAAAAAATATCTGGGGCTGGATTAACAGGCTGACTGCAGCAGCTTTGCCCTGCTCCAGGGAAGCAGAAGCTATAAACTCATTTTAACTGGCTCGTTAAACTGGGTTTATGGCTGCTTTGCATTGTTGGAGGGACACAGAGCCGCTGGAGTGAAACTGGCAAAGTTGGCCCCAATCTTGGACATTCACATTGTGAAAAGGATGCCGTTTATTTGAGCCTGTGTCTTTTTCTGGTTCAGAGCTGAAGAAGAGTCTTCCTCCTTCAATAGTAACATGCCAGCAGTCCTCCCAGCCAATGATTCTTTTGCAGCAGGCAGGACTTCCTCCTCATCCTGAGAAGCCTTCATCTCCTCCTATGTCAGTGGCCACAAGGCCAAGAGCCAACTCACCACTGTCCCCACAGAAACCGTTTGGACTGGGGCCTTCCTTGCAGCACTCACAAGAAGAGGAGCTTGCAAAGGATCCTGTGCTGGAGGAACTATGTAAGCCCCTGTGTTGTAAACTTTGCAATGTCACTCTGAATTCAGCACAGCAAGCCCAGGCGCATTACCAGGTAAGGAGAAGCAAAAGAAGAAAGATGTTCAGATTAGTTGTTCCTGTGAGGTGCCTACTGCTCTTTCAATATGAGATGCAGGGCAAGCCTTATGAATTGTGGGGCCCCAACCTGCCATAAGTGAGGGAGTCATGTGCCAGGAGCTTCCTCCCCTTCTGGTCCCACTGCCAGAGGCAGGTGGGGTATAAGGGCAGATGAAGCCCCCCTTTTTGCTCCCACGCCTGAAGGAGGGTTACTGAGGCTACACAGGTTTTAAGAGTGGGGCCCTAATGAGTTGCTTGTCCTCTTTGTGATTCAGGCTGGAGCTCATCACAATTTTTTCATCAAAACTTTTCTTCCGTCATGAAAAATGTTGCCCTTTTGACCAAAATAATGGAAAATGTATTTAAGTCAAAGTTTTTCATTCCTCCCCCGCCACAGGAGAATGAGAAAGCAAAACCCCATGTACTTTGGTCCTTAGTTGAACTGGGGAATCTGGTCCTAGATTCCCCCTTTAAAATAAAGGGGGAGAGGCAGCGGGAATTTAACCAGATTCCCCAGTTCAACTAAGGCCAACAGAAAGTTCTGATTTTCCTTCCAGTTCTAATTTAAAAATATATTTTAAAAATGTTGATTACCTATCTTTTCTCCCAGCTTTGCTGCTTTTATCAGTGGATGCCAGTTTAGCAGGTTTATGTCCCCTGGGTGACGGATTGAGCAGGCTCTGTTGAGACTGAGGAGTATGCTCTTTGTAACTCAGACAGCAGGTGCTAGAACAGAGGTGGGCAAACTATGGCCCGCGAGCCACATCCGGCCCGCGGGACCGTCCTGCCCAGCCCCTGAGCTCCTGGCGCGGCTGCCTGTCCTGGTGCTTTGGGCGGTGTGGCTGTAGCACTGCCAGCCACCGGTGCTCCAGGCAGCACAGTAAGGGGGCAGGGAGCAGGGGGGGTTGGATAGAGGGCAGGGGAGTTTGGGGTGGTGGTTAGGGGGCAGGGGTGTGGATGGGGTCAGGGCGGTGAGAGGGTGGGGAACGGGGGTTGAATGGGGGCAGGGATCCCGGGGGGCAGTCAGGAAGGAGGGGGGGTCAGAGGGCGGGAGGTCTGGGGGCAGTCAGGGGACAGGGAATGGGGGGGGGGGGTGGATGGGGCTGGAGTCCCGGGGGGGCCGTCAGGGGCAGAGAAGCATGGGGGGTCAGATAGGGGGCGGGGGCTGAGCCACACCTGGCCGTTTGAGGAGGCACATCCTCCCCTAGCTAGCCCTCCATACAATTTCGGAAACCCGATGTGGCCCTCCGGCCAAAAAGTTTGCCCGCCTCTGTGCTATAAAAATGAAGTCACTACCTTTGCTCTTAGACCAAACACCATTTATATGGTTCACTTGAACTGGTCTTGTCTCTGAGTGGGGCTTCATTACACAAACGGGGGTGTAGTATATGACAGACACCATTGGATTAGCCAGCTTCTCTACCCCAATGTACATTTCTTTTGATATTGTTCATGATATGGATCCTCAGAGATCATCTCTCACTTTGTGCTTCTACCTGGTGAGAACACCATCTTATTGGACCCTCAACTTCTGACAACTTCTAGATATGATCATCTGGGGTGGGTGGTCTAAGAGTCTTCAATTCACTCCCCCTTCCCAAGTCCAACAGAGTGCCAGTTTGCTGACCTTCTGGCTATGTTGCAATAGTTTTCACTTTGGATTTTCCGGCGGAGTGTACTGAACAGGGAGGGCTTTAGTGAGATGGGGAGACCTGAGTGTCTTTCTAGATTATTGTGATGGATTTTCAAAGAAGCTTCTAATTTTTCCAGGTAGAATTTTGTAGGTTCATCCCTTAGGTTTGCTGGCTGGCCTGGAAAGCATGTCCCATGCTATCTCCCTGGAGCCTCTTTTCCCAGGTCTGCTTCAGGAGTCTCCTCCCCAGCCTCCTTCTCCCTTCAGGGATAGTCCCAAGGTGCAGGCCCCTCTGTGTTTTGTTTCCCAGAGAGGAAACACCCAACTACCTCTCTCCTAGGTCTCCTCTCCCTATTGCCTTGCAGCCTTTCTTTATAGAAGCCACCCAGGTTGGTTCTTCACAGCTGGGTCTAATCCTCAATTACCTGTCTTCACTTCAGGTGCTACAGAATGGGCTAATTGGGCTCCCCTTCACCCTTTCACTGTTAGTGTGTGGGGTACATACCCCATCCCAAGACCCAGCCCTGCCAGGTACTGAGCATCTCATGAGGAATGTCAAGCACTCTAATCTCCCATTGCAATCAATGGAAGTTGAGATTACTCAGCCCCTCTCCGGATCAGAGCCTGTATCTGAGCTGTTGTTGTCATGACTACGTTTACATTTCAGCCTCTTAGCTGAGTCCTCTGGCTGCTAGATACAGGTGGGACTCTACCACCTGGACAGTGATTAATTCAAGTTCTGTTTCCAGGGTAAAAACCATAGTAAGAAGCTTCGGAATTACTATGCTGCAAATAGTTGCCCAGCTCCCGCCAGAATGAGCAATTCAGTGGAGCCTGCCGTGCCTCAGATTTTCTCCCATCCGGCTCAGGTAAGGCCTGGGGAGGTGACCGAGGCTGTGCTGCTTACATGTCAGTACCCCCTATGACAAGGGTAACTAGGTCTCATGCTTTGGGGTGGGATTGCTGCAGGGGTCAGAGGAATTTTCCTCACTATGTCCAGCATGGTGCAATTGGCCCGGTGTGTGCCTTTACATTCTTCTGAAGCATCAGGTATTGACCACTCCTGGATACAGGGGACTTGACTCACTGAGCCACTGATCTAATCCTGTGTGGCAAATCCTATGATATCTGTATGAATCAGATGCTCTGCTGATTATGGCTGTTTAAAGCCATGGAAATCACTCGTTGTCATGCCCTTCCTCTGTGTGTGTGTGTGTGGGGGGGGGGGGATATCCTCCCCTTGCCTAGCCATCTCCTGTGCATCGAAGTGAGACTGCACCTGGGTGCCTATGTAGAAAAGGTGTTTAGAGTCTAGCACCAACAGCACTGGGCCATCATTTCCCTCCCTAAATAGCTACTCTTGTGGCACTCATTCTCCAATCGCTGCATGAGTGAATGGCCCCCTCTGTGATCCAGATTAACGCTGTACCATGAACTGCCCAATGGCAGGCACATGTAGAGCAGAATGCATGCCCCAGTAGCTCAAGGGGTAAATCAAATGTTCTCCACACCCGAGACTTGCATGTCATTGCGTGTTGGTCAGCAGGGATCAAAGCTGGGGCCTTCAGCACCAAAAACACGGGCCTCTGCCACTTGAACTAAAGGAGACCGAACCCCTTAGCTGTGAGTAAATAGCAGGTTGTTATATGGTTGCTGGGGCCAGCCACTAGGGGGGAGACCTGTTGACATACAAAAAGAACCTAATCCAAAGCTTACGGAAGTGAATGGGAGTCTTTCCATTAGTTTCAGTGGGCATTAGAGCAGGCCCTCCCCCAAGCCATTGTATGTTACAAGTGCACTATGCTGCTTCCCAACAGCTGGGGTGGCTGCCCTGCCTTGTTTGAGGAACTAATTCTCAGAAAAAAAGAAAGCCAAGTTTGAGCCAGCTACATAGAAGATGTTCATATTGTACCATGCACGCCAGAATTCTAGGGGTAATTTGGGGAGGAGCATATGAAGTATCAAAACGGGGGCCAAGGAAACTGCACCTTAGAAAGTGTAGCACTAGCAAGGCCAATGAGTAAATCATTGTTAGTCACACTATTTGGGAAATACTGGTTCCTTGGTGATGTACAAAACACCAAAAAGACTCAGTCACTGCCCCAATCAGCTTATATTCTAAGTAGACAGACAAGATCATGCCCCATAATGCACTGGGAGATCCTGAGGACTGGGCTTACTCGGGACGGGATCATTCCTCTAAACTCTGCATATGGAACTCCCGCGGTCCATAGGCAAGGTGTGGGGAGGGGTCAATTGTTTCTCTGCAACCCATGGAAGGTTCTTTGCTGGGTTGGAGATCCAGTTTGGGGGTGGGTAGTCTGGACACAGACCTTCCTCAGTGCTGTGGAATCTCCTTTCAGGGAGCTCCCAGGGGCAGTGGTAGGCAGAGGAGTCAAGCCTGCGAGGAAGCTAGAAGGGGGAGCAGGAGGCGCCAGATCCAGTGCAGAGATACAGGGCCTCCGCACAGATAGTTTTGATCTCCATCTGATCCTCAGAGATCTGTGTGGATCTTAGGGGATGTGCAGGTTCAGAGGGCCAAACTCCCAGCTGGAGCCATGGAGAGGCAAACTCTCCTCCCACAAGGGAAAGAATTTGGGGAACACTGTGCAGAGAACCCGGAATTCTAATCCCCACTCTTACCACCAGCTTGCTGAGAGGGGTCAACTTCATTGAGCCTGGCTCAGTTATTTCAAAGAATGAACTCTCCTATGATCCTTGTATATGATCCTTTCCCTCCTTTTTGCTGATAGATGGGCGCCTCTAAACCCGGAGGTCGAGTGATCATGGCCACAGAGAATGATTACTGCAAGCTTTGTGATGCCTCATTTAGTTCCCCAGCTGTGGCCCAGGCTCACTACCAAGGAAAGAATCACGCCAAGAGGCTACGCCTGGCAGAAGCACAGAACAACTCATTCTCGTAGGTATTGTTCAACCTTTACATTAAGGCTGTCCTGAACGTGTGCAGCCATGCCTCCAGCGGTCTCTATTAATGTATCTCAGAGAGCTTTAAAACAGAGCTGTATGTATTTATTTAACCTTCAGGGATACATCAGAACTGGGCAAACGGAGGGCACGGAAAGAAGGGAACGACTATAAGATGATGCAGAATAGAAGAAATGTGTATGCGGTTCAGAACAGTACAGGTACTTGAGTGCTTGTGTCACCACTTACATGCTCCGTGGGTCGCATAGTGACAATTGCTTAATGGGTTCTGCTTGACACAGAAGGGTGCATTAGGGAGCTCTTGTTCTGTGGGCTGGTCTGCACTGATTGTGACTCCAGCATGAGGGACTGTAATAGGGTGGCCATCTCCAGTGTGGCATGGGGTAACTCTGCAGCAGCCCTGCCTCATTTTGCCCCCTTCTCACAGCTCTTCAAAACTCCACAGCCTCCTTTGGCTGCTGCAGTGCTTTGCTGCTATGCCTTGGCCCTCCAGCTAAGCCCTTAACAAAAGTACAACTATCCAGGGAATCAGAGTTCCTCATCCAAGTTAAAGCCAAACAAAACAGAGCCTTTGCCCCAGTCTCAAACTAGGCCCAACCCCTTCTTCCTAAGGGGCCTTTCTTCTGTCCTCTATTCTTCTGCTCACCCTCTGGGCTCAGCTTTCAGCCCTTCCCAGGTTCCTTTCCATCACTCCCCTGGGTTCCTTTGGGTTGCTCCCTGGTGTTTCCCAAGCAGGCACTCCTTGGCCTTCCTACCTGGAGTCATCCACAGGTCCCTGCCAGCCTTGTGCTCTCCTCTGGCTCCTCACAGCCTTTCTGCAGCATCAAGCGCCACCACTTCCCCTTTCTTCCCAAACCTAGGGTTAGATAAGGCAGAGGCCTGATTGGATCACATGAACTTCATTTTCCCCACCTGGGGAGGCAAAGCTAATTGTGTCACTGGAGGGGATGGGCCCATTTCCCCTTAAAGTGGCTAACCGCGCTGTGTCAGGAACCACATGCCAATGGAGGATTGATGCTTCACCCAACCCTGATCGTCTGACCCCTCCTGACCCCCCAACACAACACCTCTTACCTTGGAATGCCCTCTGTGCTGGGATTGTGGTGGAGGCTGCTAGATCAGGAGCTGTCTCCACTGGGGAAGTTCTCAGTTAGCCACTTACAGCCATCATCTGGCTCCTTCGCACCACCTGAGTGACACTAAGGGGCCTGGTTGGACTGAGGAATCTGGTCTGGAGTCTATAAAGCTCTTTGAAGGTTTAAGGGGCAAGTAGGAGTATTAGCAGGCCATAGAACCCATCCTGATCATCTCACTCAACCAAACCTGCCATTGACCTCAACAAGTGGGGGCTGGATTGACAGCTGAGGGCTGGATTGTCCCACAACGGTCTGCATGCAGAGGGGACCTTCTACACATGGACCTGTCCCTGCCCATGCAGAGAGGGTGTTATCACCTCCTGTGCAGCACCTTCCCTAGCATGCCTGGGATTCTCTTGCAAGGTTTCTCCTCCTGAAAATGTCTCCACAGGAGCTTGGGAGCAGGTTTGGGAGTATGAGGGGGCAGAGCAGGTCTGGCACTATCCCCTCCTAACCAAATATTGCAGCAGGGGCTAACATTGTTGAAGGAGCTTTAACTCCTTCTGGGTCCTCTTCTTCGTTGCTGCTTGTGTGGAGGCCATGCTTCTTGGGGAAGGGGAGCAGAGGAGGCAGCAGCTGCCCTTGCAGCTGGATATCAGACTCCCCTCCCCATGGATCCCCAAACTCCACAGCGTTGGCAAGGGGCCAAGGCCCCCAAGACAGTCTGGCTGAGAGGACTTTTCCAGGAAAACTATGAGGGGAACCTCCTTGAGTCTTCCTCCCCAGCCTCCTTCCATGCATCTTTATTCTTCACTGGAGGGCAGGCATCCTCTGGGGAAACACTCCAGCAGGTCCATGGAAGGGGTGTCAGGTGCTGGGTTCTAGGCAGTCAGCCCTGGTGGTTGGTGCAATGGTGGAGAGCAGGTACCAAGGGTCAAAGCCAGCTGTAGAGTTGTGACCTGGCTGAGGGCAGCGCTGAAACCGGGGTCTGAGGAGAGGCTGACCTGGGCCCTGCCCAGGGATTGGCTGCTGCAGCATGCCTGAGGGTTGAGTCATTGCAGGCTGTGTTGGAGAGGCGAGTCATAGCACCTATTGAACATCTGTGCCCGCCCACATCTAAAGGACCCTCCCCCAGCCAAAAGGGAGCAGCCACTGAGCCCAGGGCTCAAGTAAATTCAGGGGACAATGAATGAAAAGCAGGGATGGGAGTGAGGGGTAAAAGCAGGGAGCCAGAGAGGGACACTGAGCAGAGAACCCCAGACAGCGCTCACTGTTCCTCAAAGGCATCCAGGGAGCCAGTGGATGCGGCCCAGATACGTGACTGGAGGGAGGAGCGAAAATAGGCCCCACAGTCACAGAGCACCTCCCATCCGGCATCCTTCTCCTGGCATGATGGATGGCCACCTTGGCCAGCGCTACTAGGCTGACGAGGAGGTCTCGCGACTTCGTGGGGCCACAGATGGGGTGAGTGTAGATCAGGAGGTGTGGAAAAAAGTGCAGCCAGACCCAAAGGAGAAGGTTCTGGAGGAGCCGGAAAAGGGGCTGCAACCTGGTGCACTCGATTTAAATGTGTGTCAGGGTCTATCTCACACTGCAAAAAGGGCATGTGTCAGGGAGGGGAGTGGGTGAACCATGCCAGGAGTTGCCAGCTAATATTCCTGGTAGGTCAGGGTCCAGGGTAGAATATAGACTGGCCGACCGGGGCTCCTCATCCTCCACGTGTGGTAGAAGATCTTGCCACTTGGCGTGAGACAAGAGGGTGAGGAAGTGAAGGCTATGGAGTATGAGAACGTACAGCTGCTTCCTAGGCTTGATTCAGAAACAAAGCGAGTGTAGGTCATGCAGCTGGCTTGGGGGGTGGGGGGAGGGCTTGCGGGGCAGGGGCCTGATGGCGAGGTCTGGAGGACCAGAGGTGAGGGGCGGGCAGGGAGCACCCTCCAGCAGGGCCTGCTCGAGAAAGGCCCGAGAGACAGGCGATAAGGCTGCCCTCATCTCCCGGAGTACACCCCGGGGGACACGAGGGATGGAGAACCCCATGCACCAACCAAGCGCCAGGGGATCCACCACGTCCTCCCGATCATAATCCAGGAGGTCTTCACTGAGCTGGGGGTTGGGGTCAGTCATGGCAGCTGAGTGAGCAGCCCTACCCTGGCTGTGTGTGCACCTCACAGGGGGCATTTGAAGACAGTCAGTGGGTCTATGATTATGCAGTCCCATTGGCCAAAGCCTCTGTCTAGGAGTGATACAGCAAGCTGCGATACCACACCCATATTTCTGCAGCCTCAGAGGCTGTGCAGGATCTGCACGGGTGCTCCATGCCCAAGCTGGGAGCATTCCATTCCCCACTCCTTTGTCCCCGCACAGTCTGTTTCCCAAGCTTTGTGCAGGTGCTGAGAGAGCCCCTCAGTCAAGGAAGCTTTGCAAAGAAAGAAGGTATTTGTGATGCCAAGGCTTTGTCTGGCTCTCGCTGATCCTCTCAGCAGTTAAAGTTACTTCAGTTTGTCAGCCTCTTCGTTTGGTTGGTTTCTCATTTCGTAACTTAATTTCCCATCTGCCTTTCTCTATTGCTGCTCTAAGTGGTGGCTATTTCCTGGTGTTTTCTTGGCAAGGGGCCTGAGCTTTTGACTCCGACTGTACCACGTCAACCCATGCTCGCATTCTTGCTGTCCAGAATGATAAAGCAGGTTTGCCACCCTCCAAGGCCATCTGTTCCCTGAATCAATTTCTCTGGTGTTTCAGACTCTGACTCTGCCACCCTTTGAACAAACCCAATACGGGAAAGACAGATTCTGTTCTCTTATTTTGGCAGTGGGGCACTTTGATTTACTGTAAAATCCTTTTAAAAGAACTTTGATCTAGGAATAAGCAGAGAAAAGCGCATGGGGGAAATTCACCCCTGAGTGACAGTCACTTTGCTCTTGTGCCCAGCCCTGTGTCCAGTCAATTCCTCCAGTTCAGAGTAGCCTCTGGCCAGGGCAGGGCTAGGTCTGCCAGTGATGCGTTGCCTCTGCAGAAGCTGGGAGCATTCTAGGGCAGGAAAGAGTGACGTGGAGGAGTGGTGGGTTGGAACATGGCAGGGAGGGGTGGTGGTGTTGAAGGTTGACAGACTGGAGGAGGGAAGGGGTGGATCGGGAGCAGGAGGAAGTGTGGCTAGGGTGGAGCTCAGCGCTGATGACTCCCACTGGTTATGTCTGCACTGCAGCTAGGAGCAAGCCTCCCAGCCTGGATTGACAGACTCATTTACTGCAATTTTATATCTGTGTAACTCCACAGAGCACACCAGAGGTAGGGTGACCAGATGTCCCGATTTTATAGGGACAGTCCCGATTTTGGGGTCTTTTTCTTATATAGGCTCCTATTACCCCCACACCATCCCGATTTTTCACACTTGCTGTCTGGTCACCCTAACCAGAGGTGTTCCTGATTTGCAGCTTCCCGTCCAAGTGCTTAATTCTATACCATTTAATTTGAAGTATATTTAATAGTGTCTGGATCAGCGGTTTTATTTTTTTTCTTTGCAAGTCTTGTAATGAGTGCTCGTTAGCGCAGACAGCCCTCTGATGAGTGTTAGTTTAATTTTGTGTTTTCAGCATGGTGTTAGTTAATATAACGGTTCTTCTAAAATTACATTAAATATGATCTTATCATAATTATTTTTAATTAAGCAAGCAGTAAACTTACTCTGATGAGAAAGCTGATTCTAATTCTGAAATAGGGGGAGCAGTGATACAGGGTCAGATTTTCAAAAACTCCTAAGTGACTTAGGCTCCAAACTCCCCTTTTCAAAAGTGACTTAAGCACTTAGGAGCCTAAAGCCTGGTGTACAATACACCGTTAGGCAGCTTACATCGACCTAACTCTGTAGGGGTCTACAGTAAAATGTAGCTCCCGCCGATGTAACTCGTCCACTGCACCGACTTAATAACTCCTTCTCCACAAGAGGCGTAGCACTTATGTCGATGTAGTTAGGGCAACAGAGTGTCAGCGTAGATGCTGCATTGCTTACATGGACCGTTGCTGCCTTTCAATGCCCCGCATTGGCAGTTAAATCAGTGCCCCGCATTGGCAGTTAAATCAGTGC